GCTCCTCCTGCCCCTCCTCCCCAGACATGTTTAAGTGTCCGTACTCAGGGCAGGAGGGCTCCCAGAGGCTGGGCTCCTGCATCCATTTGGGAGAAAGGGAGAAAGTGTGCCCGAGTCTGGGGCCCAAGCAGGGTGGACCAGCCCGGGCTGCCGGACTGGCTTTGCTGGGGCCGCCTGCACCGAGTGCGGAGTGAGACCTGCAGCGCCCGCCCCCGCCCGCTCCGAAACCTGCTGACTCCCCTCTCGCCTCCCCTTTCCCAAGGCCTGGGCCCCACGGAGGGCGGGCCTTGGCCACGGAGGCTGCGCCGTGGGCCAGGCCTTTCCAGGGAGAGGTGTAGCAGAGCCTCTCTCCCTGGCTCGCAGGCTCCAGCTCCCGCGGGGTCCCGCCTGCGGTCACGTCTGTACCCAGCAAGCCCCAGGCCCCTGCGTCGGGCCCCCAGACCAGGTTCGCTCTTCTCAGCAGCTTTGCGCATGCGTCCCTCTGGCCTAGACTGCACCCTCTGTGCGGACGACGCTCCCTGATCTCTGTGTTCCCAGCACTGGGCATAGCAGGTGCTTTAAAAAACATTGGGGAGGGAGGCCAGCAGATGGTGTAATGGCTACGTCGCTGGACTCCCACGTAGTGGCCGAGGTTCAAGTCCTGGACACAGGGCTTAAAACAGGCCGGGTGCATGTCTGTGCATGCATGCCCAAGATCCCCAGAGGAGAAAGGATTGTGGTATAGCCATCCCTAGGGGGTGGGAGGAGGTGATTTCTTGTCTTCTGTTTCTCTGTGTCTCTGGCAAGCACAGGTGCCCTGTAGTAAAAATCTCTCTCTCTCAAAAAATGGGGGAGACCAGCAGATGGCGTAATGGTTACGTTGCTGGACTCCCATGTAGTTGACTGAGGTTCAAGTCTCCGACCTGGCAGCTTAAATTCACGCTGGGTAAGTGTACGTTCGTGCCCAAAGTCTCAAGAGGAGAACGGAAAAGGGATTGTTCCATGGCCATCCCCTAGGGCGTGGTTTCTTGCTTTCTGTCTCTCTGTCTCTCTGGCGAGTGGATGCTCCCTATGGCAAGAATAGCTCCAACAATAACAACAACAACAACAAACAACATGGGGAAGGGGGCAGCAGGTGGCGGTGGTTAAGATGCTAGACTCTAGAGACCAGCAGTTAGCGTAATGGCTATGTCGCTGGACTCCCATGTAGTCGACCGTAGTTCAAGTCCCAGACCAGGTGGCTTAAACTCACTCAGGGTGCATGAGTGGAAGGGCTTGCGGCGTGGCCATCCCCCCGGGGAGTCATTTCTCACTCTGTCTCTCTCTGTCTTTCTGGAGAGTGCACTCGCCCTATAGCAAAAACCTCTCAAAAAAAAAAAAAAAAAGATGCTAGAC